ATAAATCTATTCATTCGTTTATTTATTTATTTATGTATAATTATTTTTAATGTTTGTTTATATTAGAGAGAGAGCGAGCGAATGAACACAAGCGGGGGAAGGGCAGAGAGAGACTGAGACAGAATCTGAAGCAGGCTCTGGGCTGTCAGCACAAAGCCTGATGCAGGGCTCGAACTCATGAGCTAGGAATTCATGATCTGAGCCGAAGTCAGACCGTTAACTGAATGAGCCACCCACGCACCCCATGGTGGTATAAATTTAGAGTCCAAAGTCGTATGAAGTGCTGGTAGAGACAGATCAAGTTTCCTGCTGGTTTTTAGGGCAGAAGGGAGATTTATCTTCTGATTCACCTTTCGCTGCTGGTGCGATAGTTGGAGCACTAGTAGTGGTCTCATTTATAATTCCTGGTCTATTTAGACCCAAGGTCTTAAAGCTGGGCCTCATGTGGGTGTTAACACTCAAGATCCTATTGTTTCTGGGTTTAATATACCTGCTCAAGGTCAGGGGCAGTGTGTGTTCTCATGTTTTACCTTCTGGTTTTTAAGTCCTTATTAATTCAAGGGTATATCTTATCCTATCTTTTAAGTTTGGGGTCAAGATGTTCCTTCCTTCCTTCCTCCCTTCTTTCCTTCGTTCCTTCGTTCGTTCGTTCGTTCGTTCCTTCCTTCCCTCCTTCCTTCTTTCCTTCCTTCCTTCCTTTCTTTTTTGCATTATCTTCATCTGCCATCTTTTCGTAACTGGGATTGTTAAAAACAGGTTTAAATGCTTTGTCATTGCCCTAGCACACGGAGACAATGCAGTTAGAGAAAGTGCGACTGTCAAAGGTAAGCAGTGACAGAGTCACAACATCACATTACCATCCTTCACGTTAGCAAGTAAAACGGAGAGCCAGCATTTTGTAGATTAGTTGAAGTATGAAAGGTCTCTACAGAAATAACGCGTTTGGTAGAATTTTTATCTTGCGCAGAATTACAAACAAATTCTAGGAGCATCTGAGGTTAGTGTCGAGTCAGTGAAGCGCACACAGGAACCCTAAAGAAATAAAAACGAGGGGCATGGGTCACATGGACAGTTTAAGAAAGGGGCATCCAGGTGGAAAGGCTGGACAGCAGGCCCGGAAAAGGTGCTCGTTTGGGCCGTGTTGGCTAATGAGTCTCGCCTATACCCAATATTGCTCTGTTGGAGTCCGTTGTGTGTGCGTTAAGTAACCCCATTTTTTATAGAGCGCACATTCTGCTCTCAACAAGAGGTTTTGTCCTCTTTATACACTTGGAAATGAGAGAAAGCCCCCTCTAGTTTTTCTTAAGAAGAGAAATCTAGACTGGTGGGACTTTGACCAACCACGACCGCCAAAATTCTGCTTCCTAGGGCTGGGCAAATGGGTTAAGAAATCCACTTGGAGAACAAACATTCTCCTCAAAAAACTAAAGGGCCGCTTTACCTGGTGTCTTAGTTTTTTATTGCAGTGGCAACAAATCACCGCCAAGGCAGTGGCCTAAACATTACGAATATATGATCTTACAGTTTTGCAGGTCAGCAGCACAACATGGGTCTCACGGGCCACCTTCAGGGTGTCTGCTGGGCTGTGTTCCTTTCCAGAAGCTCCGGAGGGGAAACTGCTTCCCTGCTGGTGTGAGTGGTTGGCAGGTTTCAGTTCCTTGGGGTTCCTGGCTGTCAGCTGGGGGTTGTTATCAACTTCTAGGGGCTGCTCACAGGTTTTCACTCACGGCCCCCTTCTTCCATCTTGAAAGCTGCCATTGGCCAGCGGTCTCTCTCACACTTCACTGCCTTCTGGCCTCTTCTGGTGTGGCCTGTGACCGACTCTTCTGTTCTTCCGCTTTAAGGGCCCAAGTGATTAAATATGTAAACCTATTTTCATAACTTCATATAACCATACCGAACTTTAAAACCTGAAGAATAATTCGTTAACTTTTCCCTGGCTGTTGGCTCTTTCAATGTGTGCCGCTTGGCCAATGTCCTCAGGACAGAAACAAAGCGAAGAAAGCAAGAGAGAAAGAGAGAAGAAGATCATGAAAGATGAAAAAAGCAGGAAGGGAAGGAAGGGAGGGAGGGAGGAAGGAAAGAAGAAGAAGAGAAAGAAAGAAGGACAGAGGAACTAACTTTCCAGGGGGTCAAGTTAAAGAACAGGAATCACAGCAGGTCTCAAAGCAAGAAATATCTTTACCTGTTTACCGTTTCTCTTTGAATATTGTCTTAAAATGAGTTTTGCTATCTAAACATAGTGAGTAAAATTTAATGTAGATTTCTATTGCTCCTGATGTCCCTGCTGCTCATGTTTTCCAACACAGTTGAACAAATTTATAATGCCACCAGCAATGTAAGTGCTACACTCCACTACAATTTCCCCAGCATCCAAGGTATTATATTTTACTATTGTTAGCTTAGGTGAAAAACGTTTCTCGAACATTGCTTTATTTGCTCCGTGATTCCCAAGAGGTTCAAGTGATACGATTACATTACATTAATAATGGTCTGTAATTCTGTCTTTTCATTGAGTCATAATGATGCTCCCCACGCCCCCCCCACGCCCCCCCACTTAGACCTAGTCCTTGAGAGTGATATAACTTGCAAAACTACGATCAAGGTTATTAGGTCAGGAAATTTTCGGTCTTTGATTTTATGTCTATTCTTAGCATCTCAAAAAAAAAATATGTTCTTCCTCTTTTTTTTTTTTTTTCCTGCAGGAGACTTCATTTTGCCCTCCATGTGGTTTATGCTGCTAATGTAATTTGGTTAATGGATTCTACTACTTCTAACTCTAACATATGCTTCGTCTGATACCTGTCTAGTCTAGGCTTTCCGAAAGAGTATTCAATGAAACTGTGTTTCTGGGTTAAAATTGGTTATGTGCTAAAAATTGTTCCATAATTTGGGAACTGATGTACACCAGCAAAGTATAACAAGTTTTTTTTATGAATATATTCTCACTTTATGCATGATATGTTCCTAAGAGAGGGATATTATTATTGAAAATCTAAGAGAGGAACATAGAAAGTATTGAAGACTCTGAAGGCAGGGATTTTGTACCTAAACTAACTAATCAAAGGAGAATGCAATAAAGCAGGCCCCCTGTCCTTGGCTTACAATGACCTCGGGCAAATGTATCACCTTTGTTTTTTCCAATCTATTGTTCATTGTCTTATACATCACACATATGTGATGGTCAGTTACATGGTAAAAAGTCTGTGCTCCAGTGGAAAGGAACAGTTTCAGCACTGATGGACCAGGATAATTCTCAATGCACTTTGGTGGCTCCAATGAATGGCATATGGATGGGACCAGGAACCCCCCCCCCCCAATCCAATCAAACCAGCTAATTAGGGGCTGTAGAATGAATAAACTTTGTTATGTGGAAATGTAAAAGCAGGGTGCAGAATGCTTGCAAATTAAGTGCTCAGAAGAAATAGAACCGGCAGGTAACTTCAAGGGTTCTCAATGTATTTCCAGCACATTCTTTCTTAAAAATGAGTATGGTTTGAAACCTCAGGCAGCAAGTGAGAGAGCATGGCGAGGTTCTTTGTCCTTGTTTCCAAGACAGAATTTGAACATAATTTCTTCATTAGCAAAGAGATCTTTCCTCAAAAGGAGTCCTAAAGATTCCTGCTTATGTTACATTGCAACGATAACTTCCATTTATTCTGTTCTTAATAGGCAGTAAACACCGCGTTAGGCACAATGTACTCCCCCATGACAACTTTGCAAAATAAATTTGATCTTTACTCCCCCTCGTACTTACGTGGAGGCTGAAAATGAGAATTTAAATGGTTCACCCACCATTACACAGCTAGCAGTCAGCAGAGCATAGCTGGGACTCTCTCAAATGCTTTCTTACACAGAATTCCCTTCACCCAACGAGGACACATAAGTGCCCCTCAACTCGCTGCAGGGGGTCCGTAGGCCTGTCACCGTCAGAACCCTTCCTGGTCTCCTATTTCAGAACCAAATAGCAGTGTGACATTTAAAATTCAAAACCAAAATACCCCCAGAAGGCAAACAGCCTTTTTGTGATTGTTTTTCCTCCCGAGGGAAGCTCACTTAACATGGGAAAGTAAAATTAAAATGTTGAAGGGGGGGTTGAAGGCCCGGACAGATACAGAGTCGGGAAGCACGTGGCAACTCTGGAGGGACAGCAAAGAATGACTGCCCTGATGTCAGAGAGAGCCATACTCAGGTCCGTCCTTTCCCTGAAGTTCAGTTTCCCCACCTGTGAAATATGAGGGTTCAGCCAAACGGTGAGTGCGTTAGAGTCCCCTGTGTTCACACAACCCACACGAGATCACACGGGAATGATGGATGACGATGAGAGATAGACAATACATAAGTACGTAGAAGCATGGATGGGTGGTGGAGGCCAGCGGGGGATGGACGGATGTGTGGGTGGGTAGAATGGACTAGATGGAAAGGAGGGGCTGAAATCTGCCTTGGAATCAACCACATCCAGAAATCCATAGTCTTCTTGCTGATGATCTGGATTTTTTTCCCTTCATCCTCCCCACTCTACCCGCTCGCGCCCCCCCCCCCCCCATTCCTCACACTGTGGCTTCCACCTGCGTGTTGGGTCACAGGAGATTCTATCCGTCTCCTGCATGAGAAAAAAGACTCGGAACAAGCAGGTCTGGATCACATTACAATGGCTGCAGCCAAGATAAAAAAGGGAGCTACCCTTTCTTGTCCAATTCTGAAAGCTCCCCAGAATGAATTTGATTGATCCAGAATAAGTCACTGTTTCCTTCATGTGGATGGGTCATAATGACTCAAGAAATACAGCACTAGGCAGCACTGCGGCTGGCTCAACCTGTTTTCGTATTTCGCTACTGGATTACACGTGACTCTTCGTTTTCATCTCCTTGCTTCTTGCCCCCCTGGCTTGTGATATTCAGACATTTCTACCACACGTTCATCACTAGAATGTAACTGATTACAGGCAGATTAGTAGATCCAAGGTGAGCGGTTAGAAAATGAGTTTAAAGCTGATTAGATACCTCGTGATAGATTGCTAGTGCATTTCCCCTCGCTCGACTGTGCCACTGTAAGAGGCAGGATAACGATCCCCCAGCAATGCCCATGTCCTAATCCCTGGAACCGCTGAATAGGGGTTACAGACCTCAGAAACAGGGAAGTTTTCCGGGATTATCCAGGTGGGTCTAATTTAATCACTCGGGCCCTTAAAGAAGAAAAAAAATGTCTTCATTGTGATGACAAGTCAAACAAGGAAAAACAGGAATTTGGGAAAAGAAAATGTGTCACAACTAGGGTTTTTAAGAGATAGCTTTTGAGAAGTTTTCTTTAATAGCCTGACATTATTTTCATATAAAATGCTAAAATGAAAATACACTGTAGGTATATATCTAACTGTATAATTGACTAGCTAAATATTGATTGGTGCCTGTATACTCTCAGTTGTTACAATCCTCGCTGATCCATCAATAAGATGCAGAGAGGGTGTCTGAACAATTGGGGGTTTGAAAGGGTATTATACGCTCTTATTTTCATAAATTATATACATAAATATTCATTGTTGTGAGCAGTATCTTCCTATATTTTTCTTAGTCATGTCACGTTTTCATTGCCAGTGTCCTGAATTCATTAATCTGACCAGCATTAATGACTAGAATTCACCCAAATCAGATAATACTAGGATAAAAAAAGAAAAAGTCAGAGTCTCTACTGTAAGAAAGCTCTTATCTATGTTGTCCAATATATATTTTTGTTAATACCATGAGTAATATGAATAATTTACTTTGGTGGAAAGAATTCACAGTAAAAATGGTATGATAAATTTCTTATTGTTGTCACGAGTAACACAATAAATGTCGGGAGAAGGGGTAAGAAACGGCTGGTGAGGGTGAATCTTTCTTTTTTTTTTTTTTTTTTTTTTAAGTTGACTTATTTATTTTGAGAGAGACAGAGACAGCACAAGTGGGGCAGGGGCAGAGAGCAAGGATCCCAAGCAGGCTCCTCACTGCCCGTGCAGAACCTGATGTAGGACTGGAACCCACGAAGAAGCCGTGAGATCATGACCTGAGCTGAAACTAAGAATTGGACGCTTAACCGACTGAGCCACCCAGAGAAGGAGGATCTTGATTCTTACCTCAATCTTGTAACTTAGCAGCATTTTGACCACGTGACTTGCTGCCCTTCCTCCTTTCACACGGTCATTTATTCACCCACTAATTCTTCCATCACTTACATGCAGCCAGTGAGGGTGCAGAAATGAATGATCCGGCTCCTGCCTTCAAGAGCCTCGCGTTCTAATAAAGGAGATGGAAAAGGGAAGAAAAAAGCCTTCACGGAGCTATGAGACCAAGAGTTTGGAAAGTTTAACAGGAACACAGGGGGAGAACAGCAAAGTAGGCCTCAACCTCCTTACAACGGTGACAAGCAGTTGTCCAGTTTTAGTCATGAGGGTGAAACAGGGGGTCCTAGTACACATCCGCCTGTGACGTGCCAACGTGCTCAACACTCGACAATCCCCAAGAGTAGTTTGAAAGGCTGTTCACAGTTGGCCTCCAACCCATTTGTCCTATCTAGGGTCATTTCAATCTTGTCCTATTTCTCCGGGAACTTTAAACTCTTCACCATTCTCTAAACAAGGCATAATTTCTCACACTTCTGTGCCAGGCGCAAGCTGCTTCCCCTGCCTGGAAAGAACCTTCTTTCTCTTTTCGACATGAGCCCTGCCGACTCCCCCTGCTCTGTCTTCTAATGAGCTACTTCATGCAGCAGACACAGTTCAAACAACACCGTAAAACCCCGTTGGGGCTCCTAGCACAGGCAATGACCTCTCTCTCTGCACCCCAGTGCTTTTGCTCCACCTCTAGCAAAGTACTCGTCAAAGCCACGCGCCTGTCTCCTTCACCAGGAACGCCCCGGGATAGAGATCTTATCTTTCTCATTTCCTCATGGCCAGCACCTAGCAATGTGCCTTGGTAAATGTTGCTTATCAAAATGAATGTATATGTAAAGAACATATTATTCAGTGGAAAAAATAAACGCAAATAAATGAGTGATCAGATTAACGAGTCAGTAAATTACTGAATAGTGATTGAGGAAATGAGGAAGTGTGATTGAGTGGTAAGTCGTAGAGCTATTTAATTAATGAATAAACGGATACATTATTTAGTAAGTGAATAAATAAATGGGTGACTTACCTAAGGCCGCTCATTGCTGTTTCTTTCCACATCAAAGGCCAGATGATTTACTCCCCTCTCTCACATACCTCCCGAGTTTTACTGGACACATAGGCTTTTCACCTTTACCGGTCACGTCTCCCATTATCCTGCTCAGGTAGGATTTTTGCCTAGAGGATGAAGAACAGGTCACCTTTTAACTATTCTAGACAATTTGCAATTGTAATATGCGACAAAGTTACGGTTTTGACGATATTTCAAACTTATTTTATGACTAATTTGACAATTTAAGCATAGCCCTCTGTAAAACGCTCAGTGTTTTTTGCTTTGTTTGTTTGTTTGTTTTTTCTTTAACCTGCTTCCAGCTATGGATGACAAATGACTTTTACGACTTTTATATACGTGGGCTCACCCATTACACTCTGTCAGGGTAAAGGAGTTTTATCCGACTTTAATTTATAGGAGACAACATCCACTTAGAAGAAAACGACTTCTGTTACTTAACAGTTTACTCAAATAAAAGCAGGTTTGTACTATGTCATTTGCATTAACAAGAGCGTGAACTCATTAGCTTCAGAAACGGCATGGCATTTATGTGGTGGCCACAAGGAAAAATTCCTCGCGTTTGCAATGCAAATCTGCACTCGATCTCGATTGTGAAATTGCACGGAGGGAGTGATCGTTTGGTATTTTGAACACCCATTTCTCATGCAGCCAGGAGCTTATCGCGAGGATTGCCAAATAATCAGATCATTAGGTTAAGATTAAGACTGTCGACACAGAATCTACTAGCTGAGGGTCTGATGGAATAGGAGCCGTGCATTTTGCAACGATTAACAGATCCTGCATTTTAAGATTCCATTATCACCAAGGCCTGGGTGGCTCAGTCGATCGAGCATACAAATTTTGATTTTGGCTCAGGTCATGATCCCAGGGTCGTGGGATCGAAGCCCGCGTTGGTCTCCATGCTGAGTGTGTAGCCTGCTTGGGATTCTCTGTCTCTTTCTCTCTCTCTCTCTCCTTTGGCCCCTCATCCTCTCTCCCCCCACCCCAAAAATAATTAAATAAATAAGTAAACACATAAGTAAATTTAAAAAAAAAGATTCCATCATTCCCTCGTTTTCCATGTAAATGAGCACCAGGGCAAGGCCTCAGTGAATACAGTGTTCATCAAACCCGTCACAGATATTAGAGAAATTGCAGATTAATAATAATAATGACCTTCATATACTGCTTTCAATGGAAAGAACAGAGGGTGACCATGGACATCCTCGACATGTCCTTCTAGGGTCCTGTAAGAGGCAACTTTCCCAGACCCGTTTCAAACAACACTTCTCTTTGATCACTATAAACCATGTACTTTAAAAATTAAAAAAAACGTAGAAAATAGAGGTATGTTACCCAATGTCTCAACACTCAAATCTCCCGAATGCCGGCACCCAGGCTTTCATTCTTCACTACCCCCATGCTTTTACTTCACTTGCTTTCTTCCTGTACCATTTCGTATGTTCATATATTGTGTTTAACAAATGTTTTTTGAATCGCTTCATGGTTTTCAATTACTGTAATAACCCACGGGCTATTTAGTTATGTCCCGGAATTTGGTTATTTGCAGTGTTCCCAACTTCCAGGTATTACAAACATCAGTGTGTTGGTTACTGAGGTGTGTGAAACTTTTGCTATATTTTGGATTATGTTTTAGGATAGGTTGCCCAAAAGGAATATTTCAGTCTACAGTATGAATATTTTAAAGCATGCATATATATTTTCAAACTATGGAAAGAATTTGGAGAGGGGCGCCCGGGTGGCTCAGTCGGTTGAGCGTCTGACTTCACTCAGGTCATGATCTCATGGTTCGTGGGTTCGAGCCCCGCGTCGGGCTCTGTGCTGATGGCTCGGAGCCTGGAGCCTGCTTAGGATTCTGTGTCTCCCTCTCTCTCTCTGCCCCTCCCCCACTCAAGTTCTCTCTCTCTCTCTCTCTCTCTCTCTCTCAAAAACAAACATTCAAAAAAACCCAAAAAGAACTCGGATACACTCTAAGTATTGAAACATCTCTTCTTCCTCAGGAAGTACTTCGTCCCTTACGTTAAATATGGAAAGAAATGTGATTAATTGGTAAAGGCTTTTGCTGCTCTATTCATCACAGTTTATTTGGCATTTCAAATACTCTATTCTAGAAAAATATTGATGTGATAATTTTGGACCACTTTTTCCCTAAGAAGCAGTCATGTAGAAGAAAATAGGGATTTGTTTGTTTGTTTGTTTTCTTCTCCACAGAGCAGATTTTTTTGTTTTCTTTTTCTCCAGAGGGCAAAACAGAGACCTTTCTGGATGGATCAACTCTGCAGTGAGGAAGTGAGTTGTAATGGCTCTGGACTCACCACGGATGCATCTAGGAAACTTGGGCCGGTGCTTTATTTCTGGAAATGTCCAGACAAAGATTGGATGACCAATTTCTGGAGAGATGTTCTGGTCTTAGAAAGGTGTTCTCATTCTGGCTGGGTAGTACAACTAGATGTAAGGTAAAATCACTTTCTGTTCAAAACCTATAGCATGCTGGGGCGCCTGGGTGGCTCAGTCAGTTAAGCATCTGACTTCAGCTCAGGTCATGATCCTCCAGCTCGGGAGTTCGGGACCCGCTTCAGGCTCTGTGTTGACAGCTCCGAGCCTGGAGCCTGCTTTAGATTCTGTGTCTCCCTCTCTCTCTGTCCCTCCCCCACTCATGCTCTCTTTCTCTCTGTCTCTCAAAAATAAATAAACATTAAAAAAAGTAAAATAAAATAAAAACCTACAGCATGCTGGCACTACACTATCAATCGTGTATCCAGCAGGTGTGATCAACTACATAAGTCAACGGAATTTGAATCAATTGTTTCAACTTTGTCCGCCGTTAACACCCATTTAAAGAACTACTAAAAGTAACAGAACAGTGGTTTGATATATATACTTTTTTGACAGCTTGTTTAATCTTGCTCCTTCCTTGGGCCTCTTCAGTGTTTCATGAGGGACATGCCAATGAATGAGATCCAAAGACACCCCAGCAGTAGACGAAAAGCATCTATGTAAGTTATACCCCAGACCGGGGACTGTGACAGAAACACAGAATGACTTGGGCATTTCAGGAAGTTTTGTGAGACGGGGCAACACAGCCAAGACCATTCTGACAAAGCCATACCAATTATGCTTATTGATCTTGGAAATGAACTCTGTCTTCCTCTCACTCCCCCGACCAGCACACTGTCCCCTATTTCTGCTGACTCACCTCCCTACTCTCCCTCATGACTTGCCCCAAGCAAAGGCTGGGCTCTCATAGCACTTGAGAAGTCTTCAAGGGGACATTGGACAGCTGCCTTGAAGAAAAGAAAACTTTGTTGGGAGAGAGGGACACTCAGGAAATACTGTGCTCTTTGAATAAATTCAAGAATTTTTTTAGGAGCGAGAGAGAGCTAAGATATTTCTGTGGTTTCGCATGCAGAAATATGAACAGAAACGACCAGAGGACATTCTAATAGGAAAGGCTGGCCACATGTGGAACACACCCCTGAAGGTAGTGAGGTGCCAATGGCTATTGTAACTTACTGGAAATGGACGAGCTGTTGTGTGACCAAGTAGAAGGAAGTAGGTCAGTTCAGTCCATTAGATTTTATAATTGTAGGATGTAGAAGGAAATAGGGAGCTATTGAATTTTAGCTGCCATTATCCCAGGCTAGCACTGGACAACAACCACGTGACCCATAATTACGATAATTGTTCAGATGGACTTCATAAATGAACTGAGATAGTCCTTTTGGAAAGAGCTTTTAAAAGTGAAAACATTTCCCCAATACACATTTTCTCGTCTGCTTGGCTGTCCCCTCTGGGCTCAGTAAAAGAAACTCATGCCGTGGAAGTATGTTTAGCAATTGGGCCTCTTCCCAGGTTGTGAGACGTTTAGCAAAAATCCAGAGTTATTATTAGATCTAAATGGAGGCTTTTGTCAAAAGGCCTCTTGAACTGTTAGGAAATCAGAGTGCAAATTGATAATGACACACAACACATCTCTGCCCTGGCAGCTCCCAAAGGCCACTGAGATACCCCAGAAAGAACTCGCATGGTCTCCTGCCAACTGCGTGTTGCTCAACACTTGTCCTTCTCCTAAGTCAGCCTGACAACTGCATTGTTCTCTTCCTTATGAGAGGCAAAATGAGACGGATTAAAGAGGATGTTTGAACCGAGACCATTAATTTCCTTGGAGTGTGTATTCAAGTCAGATCCCTTTGGAGGAGCCTTTTGTGGTTTCGTAAAATTACAGCGTTGGTTCTTCGGCTGCCTCTTCCAGAGCATAAATTTGGCCTTCTAAAGAAAACGTACTGCAGAGAAGAAAGGAAAGAAATGAGTATGTAGTTATCTTAAATATATTCGTTTTATATAATAGTTCTGTTATGCAAAGAAACAATTACAGTATTAGCTCCTTATTAATAACAGAAATCATAAAAAAGCGGTCTTCATAAAACTTACAAGGTTTTTTTTTTGTTTCTGTTTGAAAAAAAATTAATAAAAAAGATTTGTCCCTAACAGTTTACGAATGCTTAAAAATACTTTTTTTTTTCAATTGTCAGGTTTAAAAATAAATGTTCCTCTCTTTTCTAAGACAATTAGCATACTTTTTAGTTTTGCAGGGGTTAGGTGAGACCCTGGGGTCTCGCGGGGCAGTTGGAGAATGAATTGTTCCACTCGCTTGTCTGAACATCTCCTGTCCATTAGCTTCCCTCAAATGTGAGTTACGGTCGTGTGAGCAGCCCACGGCTCGTGAAACAGCAACGTTATTTCAGATTCTTCCTTTTTTTTTTTTTTTTTTGAGTTTTAATTTTTTATGTTTTTATTATTATTAATATTTTAAAATATAATTTATTGTCAAGTAAGCTAACGTAGAGTTGTATACAGTGTGCTCTCGGTTTCGGGGGTCAATTCCCATGATTCATCACTTACGTCCAACACCCAGTGCTCATTCCAACAAGTGCCCTCCTCGATGCCCATCCATCACTTTCCCCCCTTCCCCACGCCCCCCATCAACCCTCAGTTTATTCGCTGTATTTAAGAGTCTCTTACGGTTTGCCTCCTTCTCTGTTTGAAACTTTTTTTTTTTCCACTTCCCTTCCCCTATGGTCTTCGGTTCCATGGTTTCTCAAGTTCCACATATGAATGAAAACATATGACACCTGTCTTTCTCTGACTGACGTATTTCGCTTAGCATAATATCCTCCACTTCCATCCACGTTGTTGCAAATGGCAGGATTTCATTCTTTCTCATTGCCAA